TATGGAGACACATGACGCAGTCTGAGGCAGAATAGCTCTTCAGCTCAGAAAGCACCTGTAGAGACATTTGATCACGCACAAAGTTTATGTGGAGCAGAAGCGGTCGGGCCACGGCAGGTGAAACGTTCCTAGCCTACATGAAGTGAAACTGTTTAATTGTAACATTAATGTGTTACTGGACACGCTGGTCTGGTTGGTTAGACCAGTGTTGGAAGTGGAAAACACACACACACACACACACACACACACACACACACACACACACACACACACACACACACACACACACACACACACACACACCAATTAAAATAATGCTGATGGACTAGAAGACAGGTGATGGTTTTATTTAAATGATGATCAGGCTGCTGTAAAATGTAATCTCCATCCACATCCAGACAGAATCATCCTCTATTCTATCTTGTCTGGACTGATGTAGCTGACGGTGCGCACGGCACGCCTAACGGCTGTGGTGCACATTTTACGCATTTGGAGAGGTGGGCTGGATCCTTTGCCTTCACTGGAAGTTGGTCCACTTAACGCACGGGTGTAGACTACATATTAATGACAAATGAATGAAAATTAAATTGGGAGTTTTTACTTCATATTTTAGAAATAAAAATGACGTGGGAACACATTTATGACGTCTTTTTAAACGACATTTTCTAGCGCGACCTGCCTACTTCACTTAAGTCACTGCTTATTAAGGTCCGTCCAAAATTACCGTGGCCCACCCAAAAATGAAAACCTGGCACCGCGCCTGTTATGAACCTCTGCAAACTGTTGTTCTTCACGTTATCAAACTCAGACTTTGTACAGCTAATGTCAAGATGTAAAATTATGAATTCAGTCGAGCTCTTCCGTCCCTCCCTCTCCTGCTCTCTGGAAACCCGACATCAGCTGTCAGAAGCGGGAGGTGAAGAAGGAGATGAGGCAAACAGAGTTAGTGCGACGTAAAGAAACCAGACTGGTGTGGAGGTGAGCAAAACAGCTGGAAAAGTGTGGGTGTTGAATCCCCCACGGGTGCGATGTCCATGCGAGCGACCGATACCTGCTGCTGTCACTTGGTTGTGAGCAGCTCTCTGCTGTCTGAGGGTAGGCCCCGCCCACAACGCCGCGGCTGCTGCGGTGTTTTCTTTACTGTGGGAACGGGTAATAATGGCTCTTTGATGGGAACAGGTTGCCGACCCCTGGTATAAGATCTGAGCTGGTAAAACAAAAATCCTCATCAGCAGGCATTTTTTGAAAGTGGGGGGGACACAGCTGCCAATCACAAATTTTGCAGGGGACATGTCCCCGGCGTCCCCGGTTAAAATGACGCCTATGTGTACCGCATTACTCCCAACACTGCCCCTTACACAAAATTTTCGACAATCTTACCTTTAACTGGATTTGCGAAACTCTCCCCTCTTCTGACATGAATTATTTTCCCTTTTTATTAGTCCTCCTCTTTTTCCTGTATTTCCCTCCCTTTGAGCGCTTTCAATATTTGCTCTGCTTTCTTTTTCCTGTCAGTGCTCCTGTGCTTTTGCCTTTGTTTTTTTTTTTTCTATTTTCCATTTTGGTCCATGTTTTCCTCCCTTTAAACATTTTCCATTGTCTTTCCTTTCTGCTTCCTTTTGATGTTTACATCGAAAAACGACGTCACTTTCAGAAGTGAAGATAAAAGCTTTTATGAAGCAAGCTGCTTCTTTCTCTTATTGGAGCCACTAGGATAACTCAATTTCATGCTTAATGTTTTGGCTATCGCTTTGAGTTTGTTACGAATGCTCCCGCCTCTCTTCTTATTATTATTTGTGGTCTTATGGCACTTGGCAACAAACCATTTGGTGCATTACCACCACCAACTGGATTGGAGTGGAATGACTACCAATCACTTCCTGTTTGTGCATCACCGTCTTAATAACCCTCTTATGACCATAATTATAACAGGGCCGCATGGTATTTTTTTTAATCTTATGGCTGTAAATTTGTAATAAAAAGTGCAAAGTGTGTGTAAATCCTTTTTTCAGAACAACCTCAGCTTTCAGTGTATGGTTTGTATTTAGAATTTATTTGTATTAAAGCCTTTAAAAATTTGCTTAAAGGTGAAAAAAGCAAAACATGATTAGAATTTTTTTCATTTATTACTGAACAGGAACTTCAAAATTACTGGGCAAACAATTTGGAACGAACACTTTAAACTTCGAACTGTAATGCATCTATTCTTAAAAAAGTTTGAACCTTGGTATCTTTTTTAGCAGTTTTTAAGACCATTTATTTTTGTAAACTTTCAGACGGTTTTGTTTGATGTGGTAGACCTTTAAGCAGTTTCTCTCCAGCTGCAGGCAGAGTCCCACTCTGCACACCTCACACTGCCATGGGGTGCTTCTCTTGCACACCGTACACTGCTATACCAAAAAATTTTGTTTTAGCAAAATAATCATTTATTGTAAAAAGATAAATAATGCTGGAATGAAGCTGAATCTTTCAATTAGAAAATAGTTGAGGGTTGTTCAAATAAAAAAATAAAAAATAAAGACTGAGCAAACATTCATACCCTGGTTCACCGGAGATCTGTCCTTCTTCGTGGTCACTGTCTTCAGATATAAGCCTTCTGGGACACCTAATAGATCGTGTTGTTTTTCTTTGAGGCATTTCCATAATCTCATGCCGGCTTTTTATGCTAATTAGCTTCCCTGTTCCGTTATCCACTTTCACCGCTGAGCTGTGCTCCTTTTCAATCAGGCTGTACAGCAGGATTTCCCCTTGTAGCGATATTTTCCATAACTCTGATTGCTTCATGCTATAGATCATTGGAAAGCTGCTTTTATGTACTTTTAGGAACCGTTGGAATTTGTTGAATCTGATCAGCCATTGAATAGTTATAAAACGGAGCATTTTGGATGACAAACTCAGCACGTCTCTGAATCTGTGTTGTGATTGTTGCGCTCAAGACAGGGAATGTCGTTGGCTACCGTAATGCATTGTATATGCACGAAAAGCCCCATTTTTAATCTTTTCAGCACTTTTTGAAATTTAAAGGGGCATTATGGAAGTTTGACAGCCAAAACATGTATAGAAATAATACATTTCTTCTTAATACATTCTCCTGAAATGCCCTGGTCCTGTAGAATGAGCCCTGGCATTTTTATTGGGATTGCCTATTTTTCTGTAAAATCGCAGAAAAAGAGAGCTGCTCGGGTCGCGCAGGCTGCTTCATGCGCGTTCACGCTCAGGCACAGCCCTCCGAACCGTTCTTTGAACGTTGTTTCAGCTGTCATCAAGGATATAAATGTTACAGATGAAGAAGATGCCACTGGTGATTTAGCTCGCCTAGTAAATTGTTGGGCTTTTGTGCAGATGACCTGGGTTTGATTCTTGATGTGAACATAGTTGTTTCAGAATTTCGTTTTTACAATAATTATATATTTTTTTACAGTAAGATGCCCAAATTTTTATTTGAGACTTGCCGAACGGCATTGAATTCACAGATAAAAAAAGATGTGGCTTCAACTTTCATTTTGGAACAATTTTTCAAGTAAGGGAATGGAATTATCTGAGCATGCAGGAGAACTGACCCATCATAAACCTTTGCTGAAGAGAAAAGTACAGAACCAAACTATTTAATTAATTTGCTGCGTGTTCACCTGTCCTCTGTTCTACACACACACACACACCCACCCACCCACCCACCACACACACACACACACACACACACACACACACACACACACACACACACACACACACACACACACACACACACACACACACACACACACACACACACACACACACACACACACACAGGAGTCTGAGCACTTCCTGCAAATCAATACATGACAGCAGCAGCAGTTATCTGTCCTGAAAATAAAGTCATACAAATAAAAATACAACATTTATCATTTTGTATTCAGATTGACAGTAAATGATTAAACACCCCTTATTTTTAAATAATGAAACACATTATGGAAAATCTGTTTAATTAAAATGGATAAAACTAAATGCAGCATTAATTAATGTGTGTGTGGTCCATTTTGTATGAAGAAAAAAGCAGCTTAGTTTCCTCCACTTCATCACAAAAGAACAAAAGCAATGGTTCAAACATTTTATGGCCAAAATACTTTTAAATAATTGAGTTTTTCAGCTGACAACCAAAAACAAAGAATATGATTAAAATTTTGTATATTTCGTAAAATAATAATCAGTGTTATTTTGTAAATGTCCCAGTCTCTAACTGACCCAGACCTGGAGGATCTTCTACAACACAACCAGGAATCAGATGTATTAAATAAGCACAAACATCCATACGATAAATGTTCTGTTGATTGTACAAAGCATCAGGCATAAGGACCACAACACCACAACATCAACAGGTCACCAGGGGACATGTTTAATTGTAATCAGAACTATAACAACAAAGAAAAAAAGATTAAATTCAATTCAATTCAAAAAATACTTTATTAAGCCCAGAGGGAAATTGATTGCTGTAGTAGCTCAGAATAATAATAATAATCAAGTCATCAAACAGTTATTGTATATTACAATGGCTGTTGGCAGGAAGGATCTCCAGTAGCGGTCAGTGTTGCAGCGAAACTGAAGAAGCCTCTGACTGAAGACACTCTTCCGTTGTCGGACAGTCTTGTGAAAAGAATGCTCAGGGTTGTCCATAATTTTCTTGATTCTCTGGAGAATCCTCCTTTGCATTATCTCCTCCAGTGGTCAATCAGCTGCTCCCGATGTTAAACCAGCTTGTTGCCATGGTTACGCATCATAACAAATGTTCAAAAACTGAAAAAAGCTAAAAAAAAATAGCAGTAAAAATCCTCCAAGCTTCACAGCACCAGAAACAGAAAAGTAAAGTGTCCAAAAAATACAGTTTTTCTTGAGAAACTAGAAGAAAAAATGTCCAAGAAAAGGCATAACTTACATATAGTCAACAGAGCTACTCCAACATGCAGCCGCACAGAGCAGTGCAGTTCCGGGAGAACAAAAAAAATAATGATAATAAAGGTCAGGGAAACGGAATCTGCCAGCATCAGCTTCCTTTGATGATGTCATAAAGGGCACAGTCCTATATAAAGGGCAAACATAAAGCAGGCACACAGACAGCTTCATTTGCAGATTGGTTTTAGACCTGAACAGACCTACAATGGCTACTGGTGGACCACACGAGGGAAACATGGAGGTATTTTCAGACACATATGAAGCTGAATTAGACCAAATATATGAGATTTTACAAAGAGAATTACGAGATCTGGAAGTCAAAAAACTAGTTTTTGGTAACCAGGAACGCGACTTTGAACAAAGGGTGGATGCGTTTGAGAAAAACATAGCTTGCATCAGGGAAAGTCTCCAAGAGGAAAGACAGAAATTGGAAGCAAAAACGCAGGATCTGGAGAAAAGAGAATGCCACTTTGAGGATCAACAAAAGAAACTAACGAATCATCTTGATGAACTAAAGACTAGCTCTCAGAAAGGAAGAGATAATTTTGTTTCAACTCAGTTACTCGACGAACACAGAGTAAAGATTGAGTTGGAAAACAGGGAACTGCAGAAACAAAGACAAGAAATTCAAGATGAGTGGAATAAGATTAAAGAAACTCAAATTGCAAATTGTGAGATGGCCAAAAACTTGAATAAGACACAAGAGAAAGTCAGAGATTTATGGAAAGCTTTACAGGTAAGCGAAGAGAGATCAACAGAAGAAATTAATAACTTGAAAAGAGATCTGGAAAGACAGAAATTAGAGTTTATCGAATCTAAGGAACAAACAGAAAGGGAGTTAACTGCAGAAAAGCAGGCTCTCCGCGATGAGAAGGAGCGTTTAAACGCTGGGAAAATTACTCTACAGAACCAGATCGTTGAGTTTCAGACTGAATCAGAGCAGATCCGACAGATTCTGCTCAAAGACAAACTAGATGTTCAACTTCTGAGAGAAAATCTGCAGGAGGACAAATTGGAGGTAATGAAAACAGCAGAAGGGTTTGTGAAAGATTTCAACGAAAGTTTACAGGATTTGAAGGAGAAGCTGGAATTTCTGAATCTTGAGAAGAGAAGTCTGGAGGAAGAAAAACAACGTTTCCTGATGACCAAGTCAGAATCAGAGAAGGAACAAGGGATGATTTACAAAATCCTCGAGGAAGAATTAGATAATTTGCATTTGGGAAAACAAAGTCTGGAAACACAAGTGATGGACTTTAGGGAAGAAATTGCTGCAGCAGGTAAGATCTTAAAAGAGAAGGAAACTGCTCTAGAAGAAGGGCTGGAGGGTCTGAGACTTCAGAGAGAAACTCTGGAGGAAGAAAAGACAAATTTCCAGCTAACAAAGTTCAGATCGGAAGAGGAGAATAAGGGAATACAGGCTTACCTCCAACAAGAGCTGAAAAAATTACGAGTTGGGCAACAGAGTCTAGACAAACAGATGATGGAGTCTGAACAGAGAAACATAAACTCAGAGCAGGTCATTCAAGACATTCGACGGGTTCTTCAGGAAGAGAGAGACTGTTTAGTAATGCTCCGACAAAACCTGGAGGAAGAGAAACAACGTTTCCTGATAACTAAGTCAGAATCAGAGAAGGAACAAGGGATGATTTACAAATTCCTCGAGGAAGAATTAGACAATTTGCGTTTTGGAAAACAAAGTCTGGAAACACAAGTGACGGACTTTAGGGAAGAAATTGCTGCAGCAGGTAAGATTTTAAAAGAGAAGGAAACTGCTCTAGAAGAAGGGCTGGAGGGTCTGAGACTTCAGAGAGAAACTCTGGAGGAAGAAAAGACAAATTTCCAGTTAACAAAGTTCAGATCGGAAGAGGGGAATAAGGAAATACAGGCAAAAGAGCTGGAAATATTCCAAATTAGGCAACAAACTCTCATCAAACAGATGACAGACTCTGAAGAGAGAAACATAAACTCAGAGCAGGTCATTCAAGACATTCAACGGGTTCTTCAGGAAGAGAGAGACTGTTTAGTAACGCTCTCACAAAACCTGGAGGAAGAGAAACTAGAGTTTATGGAAAAAAGGGAAGCAGAAACTCACCTTTTAAAGGAGAAACAACAAGCTCTGGAAGAAGGGGTTGAACTTTTGACTCAAGAGGTAATTAATTCTTTGGAAGCGAGAATGGATGAAATTGACAGACATGTTGGACAATGTTTCCAGCTTCTTCAAGAGGAAGAGGGGGATTTAGATCAGATTGTGCAGGAGCTGGAAGCAGCATTTTTAAATGTCGAAGACGAGCAGCCACCTGTGGAGGACGAGTCAGACAGTCCCACAGCTGCGTCTGAAGATCTGGGGGAACTGAATTTAGAAAAAACTGTGACTACCCAGGTACCCAGTGACGGGAACCCAACTCTTCACGGTCCTCATGATGATGATGATGTCAGGGAACTGAGTTTAGAAAAAACAAAGACAAATTCAGAAGAAGAGCATGAAGAAAAGTATGAATGCTTCCTAGATGAGTTCCAGTATTTAGAAGCTGGGAATCAGAGTTTAGAAGAACAGAAGATGGACTCTCAAGAGAACGAAAAAGATTCAGCCCAGATTCATCAGGAGGTGCAAACTCTGGCTGACCATGTCTTGGGAACTGGATACCTGTTGGGTACCCAGTACCTTGGTACCCAGCAATGGGTTAGAGGGCACTTGTTACTTGGTACCCGATACAGGGGCCCCTGCTACGCAGTATGTCCTCATAATGATGAAACACAAACGATTGAACTAAGGGAAGAAATGCAGAAAGCATCTTTAAACGTCGAAGACGAGCAGCCACCTGTGGAGGACGAGTCAGACAATCCCACAGCTGTGTCTGAAGATCTAGGGGAACTGAATTTAGAAAAAACAGTGACTACCCAGGTACCCAGTGACGGGAACCCAACTGTTCCCAGTCTTCATGATGATAACGACGAGCTTCCAGAGAACCCCGGGCCTGCCCATGGGAGCGCTGAAGAAGAATGGGAGGCTGAAGAAGACTGGGAGGCTGAAGAGCCAACGCCTTCTACATCTGGCCTAGGATCCAGCTGGGACTAATCCAACTTCTACTAGAGACGACTTCTTCCAGAACACCAATGAAGATCAGAAAAGCATATAAAAGTGAAGTAGGGAGCTTGGCATGGGTTTAGATTTTTTAAAACTAGGAAACAGAGAATTTGAATCAGGAAAACGTAAAATTTTCAGAGAGAAGAAACTGAATGGGTGAGAGAGTAGATGCTGCAGACCTGCAGGAACAGGATTGCAGGCAGAGGAAATAATACGAGCAACCAATCTAAATTTAGTAAGTAGTAACACACAGTAACACGAGGGATTAAACAAAGGCTCAAAGTTTAGAAGAGCAGAAAATTAACCTGTAGTTCTTCAAGAGCTTCTGCAGGAGGAAATAGGAATGGGTTAAAGATTTTAGCTCTAGCAATTACGCTTATCAGAGCTTCTAGTTTCCGTAGACTAAGAGTCAATACCTTAGATGGGTTGGCTCTTGATTTAAAATGCCACTACATTAGAGAGTTTTTACACTATGTGTCTAGGATGTAGCTTCTTCCACCAACAGGTACTAAAATACAAACGAAGAAAAAAAAACGCAGCACAGGTGACATCTCAACCGATCAAATCATTTCTGTGTCTCCGTGTGCTGCGTGGGGGTTTTCTCTGGGTGCTCCAGTTCACCCCCAACACAAAATCCTAAAATCCTGACAAGTTAAGCCTAAATTATACTTCTCCGTCATCGCCACGAGGGAGAGGCACGCTCGCACGGATGGAGACAATTTGCCCTCAGACTTCTCCGTCTCCTGGGGAGTGTTGCAAAGCAATTCCCCGCTAGGACATTTAACCCTCAAAATAAGTGGGGCCGACTGGAGCTGTCCGAGCAGGGCCGACCAGGTACAGATGGGAATGGCCCATAAGAGTCAATACCTTAGATGGGTTGGCTCTTGATTTAAAATGCCACTACATTAGAGAATTTTTACACTATGTGTCTAGGATGTAGCTTCTTCCACCACCAGGTACTAAAATATAAAGAAAAAAATTACCCAAAAAAAAAAAAAAAACGCAGCACAGGTGACATCTCAACCGATCAAATCATTTCTGTGTCTCTGTGTGCTGCGTGGGGGTTTTCTCTGGGTGCTCCAGTTCACCCCCAACCCCAAATCCTAAAATCCTGACACGTTAAGCCTAATTTATACTTCTCCGCCATCGCCACGAGGGAGAGACACGCAGAGGCGGAGCTGGCCTAAATGGCGCCCTGTGCGAGATCCCCCTGTGACCCCCCCCCCCCCCCCCCCCCCCACACACACACACACACACACAAGAAAAGACATTACACCTACAACTTTGTTTCAAATTGCGTGGAGTGTATTATATATAACAACGTTTGCTGACTGAATACAACATCCAGCTCCTGGCCACCTTCTCACCACTTGTCAAAGTTCTACTGAAATAGACACACTTAACGCAACATGATGGCATCATCGACTTGTACAGTACAGATGTGCTGAAAGGCGAGAGTCTCAACTTTCAGCTAAAAAAAGAACGCTCTAGCTATTATAGTTTTTATTTTATGGCAGTTTTCAGTTTAAACGGGATCTTACTAGCAGGGCACCTCCAGCAGCCCGCTGCCGCTTCGTTTTTCATGGGGTAAATAATAGCTCATTTCCCGATTCCAAAAAGAAAGAATGGTCCTACCAGCTCGCCACTTCAATATGAAGAAGATCAGTTCAACATGGGGAAAACTTCAATATGAAGAAGATCAGTTCAACATGGGGAAAAAAAACCTGACCTGTAGGCCAGAGAAACGTTCATTAGCACATCAAGTTCGATTCAGTTTACCGGTAAACATATCACGAATGTACAACAGGTCAATTATTAATCATCTTGGCTACGTAGCTTAATCTATACATTCCAGTAGCGTTTGCTACAAACAAATACAAAAACAACAATAAAGGAAAGCAACTGTCTGACAGACAACATAGCCGAATTCAAGGCAACACATAACAATAATCATTCGATTGCTCTTGGTTTTAAGTTAAGCCCATTAAAGTGCTTAAGTAAATAAAAGTGTTTCAAAAACAGCGTTTTTGAACCGGAGTTTTGCTCGCGGTGGGAACTCCGCCAAACAAGGTCATTTTTTATAGCGAAAACGATCGACTGGTCACTGACAAGTAAAAGGGTGTTATTGGTAGATGTTAAGAACACTTACCGCTGAGGTAAAATGAGAGTATAAATGAATTGAGGGGAGAAAAACGCTTTGTTTTTAGCCCGGAAGTATTCCCCCACAGCCAGCTTTCATTGTTGCCGCGACGTGGAAGGAGCCAATCAGGAGAGGGACCTCACATCAGCTGACGTGGGTCATGTGACAGGGAGTAGTTGATATGGGTTACACTTTGTTGTGCTTTTATTACAGAAATAGTATTATTATCATCACTATTATTAAGAACATGCGATTTCTATGTTTTGTTTATGTATTGGTTGATGCTTAAAAAAATTTTTTTAGAAGAAAAAAAAAAAAGGAAATTAAATGCCGCCCCCTGCAGACTGCCGCCCTGTTCGGCCGCACATATTGCACATATCAAGCTCTGCCACTGGATACTTAAACTCCTCCATTTGAGGTAGAACCTCTCTCCCGACCCGGAGTTGGCAAACCACCCTCTTCCAGTGGAGAACCATGGTTTCAGATTTGGAGAACCTACCCAGCAAGAGCTGAAGGTCAGAGCTGGATGAAGCTAGGAGGACCACATCATCCGCAAAAAGCAGAGACGAGATTCTCCTGCCACCAAACTCGATACTGTCCACACCACAGTTGCGCCTAGAAATTCTGTCCATAAAGGTAATGAACAGAACCGGTGACAAAGGGCAGCCCTGGCGGTGTCCAACCCTCACTGGGAACAGGTCCGACTTACTACTGGCTATGCGGACCAAACTCACGTTCCTCTGGTAAAGGGACTGAATGGCCCTTAACAGAAAGCCACCCACCCCATACTCCTGGAGCGTCCCCCACAGGGTGCCCTTGGGGACACAGTCATAAGCCTTCTCCAAATCCACAAAACACATGAGGATTGGTTGAGCAAACTCCCATGCCCCCTCCATCACCCTTGCAAGGGTATAGAGTTGGTCCACAGTTCCACAGCCACGACGAAAACCACATTGCTCCTCCTCTATCTGAGATTCAGCTATCGATCGGACCCTCCTCTCCAGTACCTTGGAGTAGACCTTTCCACGGAGGTTGAGGAATGTGATCCCCCTATAGTTGGAACACAACCTCAGGTCACCCTTCTTAAATGAGTCTGCCTTCATACCAGCTGGGACTCACAGACTCTGCAAGTCTGAAAGATAAACAATAACTTTCTTTCCCAATGTCCCATCTGCCTGCCTCCACAGAAGGAACAACTCCAGCTCGAATCAATCGCTAAAATCAAGAATGATTTTCTAAATCAATGTGAACTTCTTCCATGACTTATAATCTAGATAATCATTAAATAACTATTTGTTTGTTACTACTTATAATAATTATTGTATAATGAAATGCTTCATTAATCTGTGCACACTGAATGGATGTTATGTTATGTTTGTCTACTGGAACCTGCCATGTGTTCAACATGTTTTGACGACGAGGTTCTCACACCTGCACTCACACAATAACAAGTAAGGTTAAGTTAAACTCCAACACATAGTATTAAACCAGTCAGAGCATCCTGTATCAAGAAGGCGTTTTTCTGAGTTGTCTTGGTAACATCTCTCAAACTTATCAGCCTCTGATGGGCTGTGCAAGTCATTACATCAAAACCTTAAAACTGGATCATCCTGAGTGATTCGACAGTTCTAGAGAATCACTCAGACCGGCCATCTGTAGCAAAACCTCTTTAACCATCAAAGATTTTGACACGTCATCAAAACCTTTTTTGCACCTGCAAAGCTGATGAGCAAACAGTTCCTGCAGAAACAAAGCTGATATTGTTAGACTCCTTAACCCCGGGTTTCCACGGGAGCCGTCAGCAGCACGTTACTGCAGCAGCACGTCTAGCTGCTGCTTGGCCCTTCCCACGAGACGCGACGCAGCAGAGGAGCAGCTGTCACCGACAGGGCACGAAGTCACACGAGTGACTTCGTCAGTAAACACAACAACAAGCAGGAGAAAACTACAACATGGCTCCAAAATGTTTGTGTTTTTATATTCTGTCCGTTTTATAATCGCCAATACGGACCTGAAAAACAAAGGAGACCGCTAGCTAGGTGATAACTTCTCACGGGGCCGCACAGTTAGTAACCTTTTTTAAAGTAAAGCGACCGGAAGGCAGTACGTTCTTTATTCTGAAAATCTCGGGAGCTTCTCTCCATTTCCGCGTCCGATTTCCTGTCTTTCCTTCCCCAAAAATGTCGAACTTGACCCGTTTCAGAGGCGTCGCGCGTAGGAAATAGAACCGGCGCGTAAAGGCCGCGACATGCTGCTCCTGAGACGCGGCCGACTCGCGCTGCTGACAGCTGCTGACGGCTCCTGTGGAAAAGGTTCTGTTGACCACAGCCGTTCCTATCAGCAGCTATGACGTGCTGCTGCAGTAACGTGCTGCTGACGGCTGCTGTGGAAAGCCGGGGTAAGAGTCCGCCAGACGCACGGTTCCATCCAGCCATTGTGACCCGAGACACCTCTGGACTGAAGAGTCGGTACCACGGTATTCTACAGCCCTCCGGTGCCAGAGGTCAACCGACCCCTGCGACTTTCGGATCCACCAAGAGGGTCTCTCCAAAACGGGTGAAGTAGACATGATAGATTGCGTCTGATGTTCTTCTGATGTTAACAGCTTTACAGCTTAGAGCAAACCAAATTCTTTTCACCAGAACTCAGCTTGCTTTGATAAAGCTCTGGCTGACATCACATTCACACATAAGTTCTTCATCTTGTTTAGTTATATCGACTCACAGTAAATGCTTAGTTAATTAGTCATGTTTTAAATTGTTTGTAAAATAAATTCTTACTTTTATAAACCCGACTCTTTCTTGAAATAACACGAAGTGTGGTTGATCACTGAAAAAGCAAAGAACCTAGATCTTCTGAATTAAAACCTATAATCTTCTGAATTAAATCCTAGAATCTTCTGATAATATAAAATAAAGATCTAGCAGGTTAATATATTATATTTATATAGAATGTTACATCTTCCTGGTCATAACAAATAAAAAATCATCGATTTGCCTACGCTACAGCTATTATCCAATAATATTCATAAATCTCAAACAACCCAGAAGGAAAAATTGGGGATAACACAATTTATTTGTTCAAGCTGCCAGCTTCTTAACAGGAAACAAACAAGGGGTGTTTAGCATAAATTTGTTGTCTCTTGGCCAGTGAGCATGCAGGGAGAATAATTACATTTCATCTGTGAAAAGAGGAATGAAACACAGCAGAGGAGAGGAGAAAGAGAAGACGGGAGGGGAAAGGGGGAGATATGTCCTCCCCGCCCAAAAAAATAAAAACTATGTCCATGCCCAGAAAAAATGGTAGATGGACTGTATTTGTATGGCTTCTTCTTAGGGTTCTACAACCCCCCAAGATGCTTCACATCACAATCACACACTGGTAGCCACAGCTGCCCTGGGGAGCACTGACAGATATTGGCAAACACAGGCACCACTGGTCCCTCCAACCACCACCAGCAGGTTAGGTGGGTTAAGTGTCTTGCCCAAGGACACAACAGCAGCATTCTCTGCTCAGCATTCAGAGCCAGGATCGAACCTGCAACCTTCCAATTACTAGACAACCCTGCTCTACCTCCTGAGCGACTACTGCCCCGATAACACGTCTCAACTAATTATTTTAGCGTTATGAACAGTGCTGTAAAAGGTCAATTTTAATTATTTCTAACATCAAACTGAGTATTTTATAATCAGTTCAAGTACTGCATGAATCACGAATCAAATCTAGTTCTCATAATGATCCAGTAATTTAATAAATAAATAAAACATCTGTTTGGTAATGATACTTGATCCAATATCAACATTCATAGTTAATATTGGATGTAAAGAATAAT